CACTGATAACTCCAATGCACCGTTATAATTAACCATTAAAAATATGAATATATTATATATTTTAATATTTTAATAAAGGTTCTATATTTTTTTTTATGTAACACACACTATGTATATTTAATTTTTTTTATCAGCTTTATTATTTAATTTATTCTTTAGTGATAATCACGGGCGTTAGGCGTATTCTGTAATGTTAGTTAAGCTAACAAGAAATGTTTCTTTGGGGTAATAGTAAAATGCGGTAGTACTTTAAAAGAAAAAAACTTAAAGTTGTTGTCGGTCCTTCAATATATTTGTTGACGAGTGATAGTACCATGTAAGAGTAGGTTCTCTTGAGAAAGTAAACAAGACCAATAATTAAACTTTGATCAAGACGTGTATCTTTATACCGCTTGATCATGTATTCATGTTTTAAAGATTATTCTAAAGCTTTCAACGAAACTTTAAAAATTATTTCTATATTTAAAATAATAAATAATAATACACGTTATTTTTTTTTTTTTTTTATTGATCACAGTAAATCGACAACTAGGCCATTAGTAAAATACATTTTTTCTGTTACATTTTTAGTATTTTAAGTATACATTTTCTAGATTAAATTAAATTGAACAATTCTGTTTTTTAGGAATAAAATTAAGTTTTTTACATCCTTTGGGTTTGGTCCAAGTGCTTAACAGATTTGTTCGGATAATGCATGATGTTATATTAATATATTTAATACAGTTTATTACAAAATTCTACAATTTAAATATCAATTCGTTCTCTAATTGTATTAATTAACACTGTAGACGAGGATGGTTTAAAAAAATCTTTTAAAGTTTGTTGTTTCCTCATAATTATTTAAATTAAAAAAAAAAACAGTATTAATACAAAATTGATAATATTTTAGTATTTTAGTACTAATTTCAAAAGCATTATATTATAATATTACCTATAATTAATATTTATATACTTATTTTCTTAAACTTTTTGTAATGCAGGAAAATCTATTATTATCCGCACGGACATACAGGCATCGCGTATCGTCGTTGTTAGCGATAATATTATATAATACATTAGTCATTAGTTTACCATCTTTTTGTGTGTGACTAAATAAAAACTTCCAAAAATCCTATCCATTTCTTTTATGTTTCCTTGCAACTCCTTTATACTAAGAACACATTTWWAAAAAAGGCTTATTGGGGATGGGGTCAGACCCCCACATGGCCACATCCCCCCTTGTATACGCTCCTGTGTGYTATTACTAGAATATGTAACAGCTAACAAATGATCTAGTACCTAGTGGCTACTATATATTTAACAGTTACGACTATAAATTGGGAGGAGGGGGGCTGCAGCTAACTAGGCCCCCCCTATATATGCCACAGGATAATATTATATATTATACACATATCATCCCATATCCAGTTGTAATTTACCCAATGCCTCGTTGATCAAGTGTGAATTTATCTTAGGAAAGCCGGAAGGGTCGGAGAGAGAGGACTATCTGTGATATTAATATATTATATTCTAAAAATTAAGTACGAGGATATATAATTATAATTTATAACCATATTAGTCCTTAGCTTACCCCCTCCCCCCTATCCCATTCAACACATTTAATAATTATTAAACTATAATAATAAAAATATGTTGGTTTTATAGGTTGATTTATATTATTCACACAGACGCGTGGAAATCAAAATCTCTAATGTTCATGTACAGAGCACAGAGCACAGAATATATAAAATTATTTGTTTRATATATTTCATATATTGTGTGCGCAGAGTGACATATTATTTATTAAGATATTATATTGATAATTTGGGCGCTTGTAAATTGCGCCCACTTTAAGTAGGTAGTAAAAATACTATAGTAAATTGCGCCCGGGATTTTTCGGGGTCTAAAACGGGTATAGTAAATTGCGCCCATAGTATCTACTATCTTGAATTCATCGTTACCTATTATGTGTATTTTAAAAATACAGTGTTTCATTTATTGGTGGATAAGCCGAACGTTAGGTTAGGTTAGGGCTGAATATGTCAAGATGATGTCTCATTACTATATGCCGATAACTTATAACTGTATTTTTTATTAACATTTTTAACCTAACAAAAAATATTTAAACAACTATAATTAATACCATAATATTTTTTTTTTTAAATGAATTTTTCTATTTTCATTAATTCCTATTTTTTTTAAATTTATTCATTTCAAGTAAGCCAAAAAATACATTTTTGGAGGACAGTGATAGTCGCCTCCTCGTGGTGTCCTCTGGGTAATGCTAAATGAGTATCATAAAAATAATACTATTCTATTGGGCGCAATTTACTATACAGAAATTTRTACCTGAAAAATACCGGGCGCAATTTACTACACAAAAATGTATACCTGAAAAATACCGGGTGCAATTTACAACTATTTCCTTTCGTTGGGCGCAATTTACGTTTGCCCGATAATTTATCATCACGTGTTATCACGCTTATCACCAAATCACCAACAATAATAATATTATTTACCCACTTCTTATTTCTTAATACGAACTGATATTATTGTATTCTTAGCGGTGCATTTTAAAGTTTTAAACTTCATTACTTCAGTATTTTAGCTTTATTCGTTATTCACCGTTCAATACTTCTATTTTAAGAGAAGCTACTCTTTTGTATCAGACTTGATTCGAGATTTCAGGTTGATTTTCGGTATAARGTYGAAGATTTTTAAAATAGTAAGTTAGTTAAATCAATTGTTTAACTTTAAACCTCATGTTATTAGAAATATTTACTAAATTTGTTATAATTATTAATTTATCTTGGTCAATAAATGTTACAGCTTTTATTCAATATTAAACATAATTGACTAGTGCAATTGTCTAAACTTTTATTTTCTTATTTTGTTGTCAAAGGTATAACAATGACTTTTGATACATCTTGGGATGTGAATAAATACAAATCAGAACATGAGTATGAAGATCATTGGCAATTTAGGCGTCAGTTTTTAGTTGCTCATCAAGATAAATTCCCTGAAGATCGATTAGTGTGTTTAGCCCAGGTGTTTTTCAATATTGAATTTTTGGGATGCCAGTGAGTTAAAATTTTGATTGATCTTCAGAATTATTAATACTGATATTTTTGAATTTAACTGTAAATTATAGTATGTTGTATTGTTTTTTAATAATWTTAATTTTTCAAGGTACCCAAAAAAAGTCATGGACCTTATTGAAAAACTATCTGAAGGTTTAGCGGATGACTTAAGAGAAAAACGTAAAGGAAAATTACAAAGAACCTTTGTTGCTGCCTCAGATGCTGCTGAAGCTAAAGCTAAACGCTGTAAGTAGAAAATAATA